ATTTATCAAAAAATTATTATTTCCATACCTAAAATTAAAGGTAAACAAATTTTAAAATATGAGCATACACACAAGATTTAGGAAGCAGCTAAATCAACTATACTTATATTATATTTTTAATAACTGAACTAGACAATTATCAAAAAGCGTGTCAAACTAAACATGTATTATTTTTTTAAAAAAAATATTAATTAAAAAATAAGTTTTTAAACATATTTATGAAAGAAATTATACCATGGAAAAGAGAAGAGAGGACAGAAAGAAAGATATAACTCTTATTATTCAAAGATATGTTGATGAGTACATGGTAGCCTTTATATAGTCTTTAAGTAAGCCATTGACCTAGAAATCTATCACCTTAAATCAATGTAGCATGACAATTTCAAGAGCTATTATCATAACTTACTAACTCAATAATTATTAATGCATATCTGCTAATATTTTTTAAAATCCTTAAAAAATTTTAAAAATTACTTGTAAAACACTTTTCAAATATCATAAAATGAAATAGGAGTTACTACAGTAATTAACTCTTGGTCTCCGTTCTCTCTATTCATGATCAATGTCAGAATTTTTAGTGGCTGCAAGCATACTACATGTGTGGTTGAATCATATTAAGCGTATGGTTTAACAAAGGAATGCATTTTCGGATGCTAGATGATCACTAAAATGCCATCAAACTCAGCTTTGACTTCTTTACTAAATGACTAATATCTGATTCTTGCAGCTCTCTCTTTGTGGGCAGCCAACCAACTTGGGAGGAAATTGATCTTTTGATTCTATCACCTCATTGGGCTGCATTTGTATGTATAAAGCAGGTCAGCATTTATTTCTGGAATTCAACCTAAAAACAGCCACTAAAATATTAAGGATTTTTTTAATTTGTGCCTTAAAAATATAATAAATATATTTTTGTCATAAATTTATATTAAAAAATAAATGTTAACTTTTAATTTATCAATTGTTTAATTGAATTCATTTATTTTGCACCAAGACTAAAATTAAAGTCAATTTTTATAATTTTCTGGATACATTTATTAAAAAAAAAAAAAAAAATACCCTACATATTAGAAAAACCCGAATATTAAATACTTTAAGGATCCTTTATAGATATGTAAATTTTCTTGGGGGATGCTGATGAAACACCAATTTGCCTTCCTTTTTTATTTTTTTCGTATGTAAATCTTAGAGATTGAATTATAAAATCTAGATATATTGCTAAAAATACTAACGACTCTACCACTAAAATACAAGGTTGATGGTGCCTTCCATACATACACAAAGGCAAAACCATGTTGGCCCATAGTTGGGCACAAGCCCTGATATGGGCCAAAAAATTTTAGTGAGAGGATGAGGCCCAACTGTCTAGGCCTTACGTGAAAGAAATTGAGATACATGTACTGACTTTTAAAGAACTAGAAAGGAGAGTGGTGTCAAACTAAACTTAAGTGAGGGACGGAGATTAGATCAGGGTCGGTTTATTTAGGCAAAACGTTAAGTTAAGCCCCTGAACTAACCTCAGAATTGCTATTAAACCCTTAGACTTTAATTGATGCATATAAGCCCCTAAACTCTGCAATCGAAGTAATTTAGCCCTATTACCAAAAAATAAAAAAAAAAGAGTAATTTAGCCCTTATTTTCACAGCCAACTTAACTGCGATAATTGCTGTTAACTGCTGTTTGGGGGACTGCCTAGTGTGGCGAAATATGGCCATCTCATGCCTATGTGGCAAGGGATCTTGTATTTGGTTTGTCCACTTGGATGCAAAAAAAAAAAAAAAATTATTTAAGAATAATTTTTTGTGTTAATTTTTTTACAACATTGTATGTCATTTAAATAATTAACTCTTTTTATTCATGAGTTTATCTGATTTATACTTTAAGGACACAAATTAAAAATGTAATAAATACATTTTTTATAATAAATTTATGTAAAAAAATAAAAGTTAACATTTAATTTTTTAATTATTTAATTAAAGTTATTCATTTAGCACCAATACTAAAATTAATATCAATTTTATTTATATATAT